GCAGAGGCCTCCCAGAATCGCTTCTCAGAGTACGGATTTGCATCACAGATTGGCCACTGCAAATACAGTTGGGAACTCACAGATTTTTTTCTGTGTGTTTGTGGTTCACTGCTGATGGATTCATGTCAGAAGGCACCCAAACCTTGGCCCAGCCTTCATGTGAAGGGAAAACCCAGACCTGCGTAAGCAGCAGGTACCTGCTACAAGAGAAGCAAGGTCATGCCTCCTGGGCTTTGTCAGAGGCTCCTTGCTTCCTGGAATCCAGCTGTACAACCAGGAGCCAGAGGTCTTGGTGGCCAGATGCTGTTCTAATCCTGGTTCCATGGCCTCCCAACTGAGTCAATGAGGTTATGATGATAAAATGTAATGTACTGTATACCCAGCACTGCCCTAAGCACTTTGTGTTTCTTATCTCACTTGCTCTTTGCAGAAACTCTTGGTACTATTGCTAGCCTCAATTTCTAGAGAAGAAAACTGAGGCCCAAGATAGAGAGTTGGTCTGCCAAGGTCAGGACCTGCACCTGGCTGTGTGAGGCTGGAAACTGAGCACTGGATCCTTATCCTACACTGCCTGTTTCGTTGAGTTGTAAAAGGGGGAATACATGTAGCACCTCCTCCCTAGGGTGTTGCCATATTCAAGTAGGATAATCCCTTTACAGCACTGGCACGGTGGCTGCATGCAAAACAGTGGGAGCTACTGTCAGTTTGACTAGTTCTGGCCTCTCCGAGGCCTTGCTACTCTCTGTTTCTTCTCAGCAGCCTTCAGACAATTTTCTTTCTTTTTAAATTTTTTTTGAGATACAGTCTCATTCTGTTGCTCAGGCTGGAGTGCAGTGGCACAATCCCAGCTGACTATAACCTCTGCCTCCCAGGTTCAAGGAATTCTCCTGCCTCAGCCTCCTGACTAGCTGGGATTACAGGTGCCTGATACCACACCTGGCTAATTTTTGTATTTTTCATAGAGACTGGATTTCACCATGTTGGCCAGGCTGGTCTCAAACTCCTGACCTCAAGTGATGTACCTGTACAGTCTCTGAAAGTGCTGGGATTAAAGGTGTGAGCCACTGCGCCTGGCCTATTAAGACAATTTTCTGATTGAACTTCACAAGACTTTCAGCTTCTTGGGTTGGGACACACTGTCAATTTATCGTGTACGTAGAGAACAGTGGGCAGCAAAGATCAAAACCCTTAGGGGAGAGGGGCAAGAGAGAGGATATGAGTGGGGATACCCTGCTCCCCTGAACAGTATTCCAGAATTCCTTCACCGATTGAAGTTCAAGTTTGGTCCTCTGAGCAAAAAGTTTAGAAAAGTTCCTTTATGTGTTTATTTAACTATAGAATAAACAACTCTATAGCAATAACAACAAAGTGAACCTCCTGGGTTTTTTTTTTTTTTTTTTATCTTTTTGGTTCTTGTGTACACATGGAAAAACAACACAAAACAAAACCAGATGAACTAAAACCAGTTCTCTGTACAAGGCTCCCATATGTAAGAAAAGGAAAGAGTTTTCCTTCTTGGGCAGGGTTAGATCTGTGTGGTGTTGGTGGAGGGCAGGTGAGGGAGAATGATTCCAATATCCTGTTCTAAAGCTCCAATTCCCCTCCAATTCCAAAGCTCAGTTACCCAAGAGAAGCTCCAGGGAAATTTGCTCCCTGTATACCAAGGGAATTCTCGAATCTCCCCTCAAGGTAGAAATTGTCAAGGATGCACCCAGTCACTTGGTGGGGAGAAGCTGCTACTCACGAAGAATGCGCATGGTAGATTTCCAACCTGGAACCTATGCGTGGGGAGGCTCTGGGACTCCTTTCTTTATTCCTTTTCCAGTCCCATTACACTCAGATGCATGTTGCCTGGTCAGCTGCAGGCCCACGGACCGTATCTACTTACATTTACCGACCGTGTTTTAATTGCTCTAGTCTGGATGTCAGCATTCCAGGACCACTGATGGAGGGTTACAGCAGAGGGGGCTGGGTCAAGTGGATGGCTTCCAGGAACACCCCAGGAGACCTGCAGGGAGCTGGCTCTACTAGAGTCTGGGCACAGCAGCTCTTCCAAACTGCAGACCTACTCCCTCCCTTTAGTATTGTCCTGGCTCTATAGGCTTGAGGATTAAAGCAATGAAAAGAGTTCACAAGCCAGTGGCTCAAGACTTCTCTTGATGTTCCCCGACATCTCTGTTCAGAGGCATTAGCTGTCAGAGAGAATACTCCGCAAGATTTGAAGCTGTGGCACGGTTTGGTCGTCTGACCTTCTTTACTCCCATATTCGGGCTTTGCAATTGACAAGTAGAACGGGTTTGCCTTCCTCCAAAAATGTCCATGGAGAAGAGCAAAGAAGACTTAGGAACAATGAAGGGAAAGGGAAATAAAAGAAGGGAAAGCCAATACCAAAGAAACAGGTTACGAAATTTTCCAAGGAAGGTTGATCTGAATTTAAAAAAAAAAATCACAAGTTTTGTTTTTAGAGCAGAAAATGTATCTGTGTGTGTGTGTGTGTGTTTGTGTGTGTGTGTGTATTACAGCCTCACTTAGAAATGCCACAGGGGGCTGGGCACAGTGGCTCACACCTGTAATCCCAGCACTTTGAGAGGCCAAGGGAGGTGGATCACCTGAGGTCAGGAGTTCCAGACCAACCTAGCCAACATAGCAAAATGTCATCCTTACTAAAAATACAAAACTAGCCAGGCATGATGGTGTGCACCTGTAATCCCAGCTACTTGAGAGGTTGAGGCAGGAGAATCATTTGAACTCGAGAGACAGAGGTTACAGTGAGCTGAGATTGCACCATTGCACTCAATCCTGGGCAACAAGAGTGAAACTCTGCCTTAAAAAAAAAAAGAGAAAGAAATGCCACAGGGAATTTTGCTTTTTGCTTTTTTTGAGTTCCCCAATTTCCCTTTCACTCTGCCCACTCCCGTTCAAGAGAAAGCTTCAGTTTGGTTTAGACAAATGCAACACAAGAAGTACAACACAGCCGTATTACATTAACTTTCATAGCCAGGCAGATGGAACTTAACACTTCTGGTGAGAAGGACTTTGTGGGGTGAGATTCTTGGATGGCTGTCCCAGGGAACTCCAGGGAGAAAGATCTGCTTCACCTGAGACTGGTGGAAAGCACCTGTGCTAAAAACTCGCTTTCAACGAAGAAAGTTGGGATTTGGCTAAGAGATAAGCATGGGCACATTTGACCCTTTTGTGTCCTTCATTTGGACATAGCTAGACAGGAAGGGAGAAGGGTGACCTCAAAGTGATAAGGACTATTTTCTTTAGAACTAGAGAACCCAAAGATCTTTCTGTTTTGTTTCTGCCTGGAAGACAAATAGAGCTCATTCCAGTTCTGTCAAAGGTCACCAAATCCCCTGCAGTCTTGTTGTAGCAACTGTTTCTGTGAACTTGCTTCACTGGAAGAAAACATACCATTTAGTAATGACCAAAGACACCTGGGGTTGTTTTCTGCTTCTTGCTGTTCATTGTTTTTATTTTGCAGGAGCGGATGATGTTCAGTTTAGAGTCCGATTTCCCTGGTGCCAAAAGCAAATCCTAGTACCTCCTGTTGCTGGCTCAACTGTCCCCAGCCATCTCAAGTGATCCATTTGGAACACAGAGAACAGAGCAACGGACTTCCCCTTCCCCTGGGTGGGTGCTGATAGAGTTCTTTCCCAGATCACACACAGTGTCTGAGACTCTGCCATGGAGGGATCCCCTCTGTTAGGACTTTCTCCTTTCCAGTCCCCAACCCAAATTTCTTCACCACGTAGCAAGAATTTGTTCCTAGGACACATGGTGCTTTGCAGTCTGCACAGCTGAAATGGTTAGTCACAGATGGTTTGTCATTTTAAATATACCTGTGCCCCACCCAGATTCCACTCATTAGTAATTATCCTACTCCTAAAACCTGGCAATTGGGAGGAAGGAGAGAAGAGGGGTGGGGATTCAAAAGAGCAGCTGCAGGGCTCAGATCTGCTGTCCCCTGTCTGCTAATAATAACTCCCGTTTTAGCCAGCACTCACTCTGCCAGGTATGTGCTAAGCACTTCTCTTTTGTCGCCTCTAATCAGGGTGACAGCTCTGGAAGCTGCAGGTGATTCCTATTTTGATGATAAGAGATGGAGGAATTTGCCTAAACTCACAAAGCCAGTAAGCACTGAAAGCAGGTCTGAACTTCCTTCTGATTCTCAAGCACTGCGCTTTTCATCCTCATGCTGTACTGCTGCTTCAAGCTGATGAATTTAGCAAGAGTGGGTACCAGGAAATGCCAGTGAGACAGGAAGGGAACAACTGCCAAAATGCAAAACTAAAAGGGGTTGAAACCTGAGAGTTGGCAGTCCACTACCACAAAACCACGGGCTGTGTGGAAGTGTTCATGGGACACTGAGATGTGTCACTAATAGCGAACTCTGCATGCTTACTTAGAGCATAAAAAGATAGCACCCTTGGCCATTGCCTGACATGAACTGTTTGAAAATTGCAGAGGTGTGGAGAGCCATGGATAGGTTTTAGAATTTATTCTAATATAATTTCTGTGCTGAAGCCTGCTTGATAAAAAAGCTGATATTGCTTAAGTTATATGTAAATGTAAACTGGTCTTCTTTCAAGATGTTTGGAATAGAATGAATGCCCTTCCCCTGGTTACCTCCCAATACCTACACCCAAACGAGCCCCAGTAAGGCTTCTTTATCCTTCCTCACTCAGCTTCCTACACTGCTGCTGAGACCTGCGTGTCTCTGGATGATAGTGAGGCAAACCACTGTGATTAAGCACCAACACCAAGACATGGCACCAAGCTATCTTCTTCCTCACCACACAGCCAGGCGGGCTGCTTGGTGGGTTTGGGGTCACCCTCTCCATCTGTCTCTCCCTGATAGTTACATTTCTCTTCCATCACTGTGTGTTTGGCAGTGGATGAACCCGGAGCATTACATACATTTTTTAAAAAATTTATCTTTTTCTCTTTGATCTGAATGGGTAGATGAAAATTACATACATTTTTTTTTTTTTTTTTTTTTGAGACGGAGTTTCACTCTTGTTACCCAGGCTGGAGTGCAATGGCGCGATCTCGGCTCACCGCAACCTCCGCCTCCTGGGTTCAGGCAATTCTCCTGCCTCAGCCTCCTGAGTAACTGGGATTACAGGCACGCGCCACCATGCCCAGCTAATTTTTTGTATTTTTAGTAGAGACGGGGTTTCACCATGTTGACCAGGATGGTTTCAATCTCTTGATCTCATGATCGACCAGCCTTGGCCTCCCAAAGTGCTGGGATTACAGGCTTGAGCCACTGCGCCCGGCATAAATTACATACATTTTTAAGGGAGCACTTACTATATGCCAGGCATTGTTCTAAGTCCCGTGCACGTCTTAACTCTTTTGTCCTCATCAAATGGCACAAAGTGGGTAGTACTGCTATCTCCATTTATAGATGGTAAAAATTGGGGCCCACAGAAGTTAAGTACTTGCCCATGTTATGCAGCTGATAAGTAGAAATCTAGGCTGCTTAATCCTTCGCTTCTCTGCTGTAGTGGTGCTAGCATGAGTCCAAATGTTCATTCAAACATCTCTTCCCGGGCATGCTGGCCCTAGCCATGACTGGGTTGCCACTGCTGTAACTGGCTTTTGGCTGCAACTCTGAAATTATATCAGGTTCTCAGGTGAGCATGTTGCTATTTTAGGTGGTCAAGGACAACATCGCAGAGTGCTGTTGATGTTCTCCATAGGGTGACTCTGAGCGATTCACCTTTCTCTGGGACACCTTTTTCACTTGCTTTGTATCTGGGCACTGTGACTCAGTTTCTAAGGTTATCAACTACGAGTGCTAGATACCTTTGGTGGTGTCATTGCCTATTCATAGAACATGCAGTCAGCCCTCCTGGAAAGGGACACAGCAGAACACCGTAAGAGGAGCAGTATTTGGGGTCACTCCCCAAATGACCCCATAGGAACATGCCAATTCTAGAGCTTAAGAGGGACCATGGAGGGAGTGACGATAATCATAAGCCCTTACAATATGCCATCTCTGGTCTAAGCACATTCTGGGAACTACCTCATTTAATCCTCCCCTCAACCAGCTGATGCAGATCCTATTATTATCCCCCGTTGGCAGATGAAGAAAATGAGGCACAGAGAGGGGACATGATTTCCCACAATCATAAGGCTCATAAACAGGAGATCCAGGATTCCAACACAGCCAGCAGCTTCAAAGACTGAGCTCAAACATGGTGCTACAACTGACAGCTGAACCCATGTCCTTCCCTGTGCTTTATTTCAGGGAGATGAGAACTTTCAGCTGTCTTATTGCCATATCACTTTCAGCCTTGAAGGAGCCCTTAGAAACAAAGTGAAAAGAAAACCTGGCCTGAAACAACTGCTGAGTCCCAATTAGGGAACAAGGTTGGGAGGAAAGAGGGTAGGGGCAGGATCTGACCAGGTTGTAATTCAGTAACTGATGACTAACTGATCACTGAGAGAAAGAAGCAGGAATAGCCACAGTCAACATTCATGGCAGAAGGAGAATCCAGGGTCTGTTGCTTGATCTTCTTGTTCTGGAAACAAGATTTCAGCCCTGTTCATCCTTTGGCTCCCACACTGACCCTACTGGACTCTCCTTCTTGCCACCTGTTGCTGCTGGTTGCTCACCCCCATTTCTAAGACACTGACAGGAAGGGTGTCTCTCAACAGCATAGGTTTCATTTTAGCATCCAAGAAACTGGACATCACCACTCTGATTGCTGTTAATTATAACATTACTACTTTCTTTTGGATGAAGTTTAAAAAGTTATGCAGAGGTCAGGCACGGCCAGGCGCAGTGGCTCATGACTGTAATCCCAGCACTTTGGGAGACAGAGGCGGGTGGATCACCTGATGTCAATACTAGCCTGGGCAACATGGCAAAACCCTGTCTCTACTAAAAATACAAAAAATTAGCTGGGTGTAGTGGCGGGTGCCTGTAATCCCAGCTACTCGGGAAGCTGAGGCAGGAGAATCGCTTGAACCTGAGAGGCAGAGGTTGCAGTGAGCTGAGATCATGCCACTGCACTCCAGCCTGGGGAAGACAGTGAGACTCCATGTCAAAAAAAGTTATGCAAAGATATTTGCAAATATTGTATCTGATAAGGGATTGCTATTCATAATACATAATGCATGAGGAACTACAACTCAACAACAAAAAATCTGATTAAAAAATGGGCAACGTATCCTGCACACTTACCCCTGAACTTAAAATAGAAGATGGAAATTTTTAAAAAAGGGTGTGGTGGCATATGCCTGTAGTCCCAGCTGCTCGGGAGGCCAAGGTGGGAGGATCACTTGAGCCCAGGAATTCAAGGTTGTAGTGATCTATGATCATGCCATTGCACTCCACCCTGGGGGACAAAGTAAGACCCCATCTCTGACAAAAAAAAATGGGCAAAGAATTTTAATAGACATTTCTTCAAAGAAGATATACAAATGGCCAAAAAGCACATGAAAAGATGTTTAACATCGCTAGTCACCAGGGAAGTGCAAATCAAAACTGCAAAATCCATTAGGATGAATGTTATCAAAAAATAACAAGTATTGGCACAGATGTGGAGAAAGGGAAACCCTGTGCATTGCTGGTGCAAATGCCCCCTGCTACAGCCACTGGGGGAAACAGTTTGGCTGTTCTTCAAAAAGGTAAACAGAATTACCATATGCTTCAGCAATTCCGCTTCTAGATATATATCCAAAAGCACTGAAAGCAGGTGGCCAGGTACAGTGGTTCATGCCTGTAATCCCAGCACTTTGGGAGGCTGAGGTGGATGGATCGCCTGAGTCTGGGAGTTCAAGACCAGCCCAACCAACATGGAGAAACCCCAACTGTACTAAAAATACAAAATTAGCCAGACGTGGTGATGCGTGCCCTTAATCCCAGCTACTCAGGAGGCTGAGGCAGGAGAATTCCTTGAACCTGGGAGGCAGAGGTTGTGGTGAGCTGAGATCACATCATTGCACTCCAGCCTGGGAAACAAAAGTGAAACTTCATCTCAACAGAAAAGAAAGCCAGTATTCAGAAATTGTACATCTGTGTTCATAGCAACATTATTCACAATAGCCTCAAGATTATTGGGAAACAACCCAAATGTCCATCAATAGATAAATGGATTGACCAAGTGTGCTATACACATGGAACGGAATATTATTTGGCCCTAAACATGAATGAAGTACTGATACATGCAACAACATGGATGAACGTCAAAAACATGCTAAAGCAAAATAAGGCAGCCACAGAAAGACAAGTTTTGCATGATTCCACTTGTATGAGGTACCTAGAAGAGGCACATTCGTAAAGACAGAAAGTAGAACAGACACCCAGGACCGGAGGGAAAGGAGAAATGGGAAGTTACGGTTTAATGGGCATAGAGTCTGTCAGGGAGAATGAACACATTTTGGAAATGGGCATAGAGTCTGTCAGGGAAAATGAACACATTTTGGAAATGGATAGTGGTTGCGCAAAGTTGTGAATATACTTAATGCCAATGGATTGTACACTTTAAAACTGATGAAAATGATAAATTATGAACATTTCACTATAGTTTTAAAAATCACCAAAAAATGTCACGTAGAAAGTTAAAAAGTTCTGTGGGGTAATCTTTTAGCAGTTCATAAGTCCATTCACGTTTGCCATGGCTACCCTACAGAGAGGCACACTATGTGAACACCACACTTGGCTTTCTGAGCTGGAACTACAAACTACCATTACTCTACTCCTTGGAGTTTCCCCAAACTGAATTTGCCCACACATGGTTGCTATTGGAACCTACCTGTTGCTACAGTATCACCGTGCTGTGTTACTAAGGAGTGGGACACGTTCTGACTTTCAAAGCATTTACACAGTGAATAATACCACTTTTGTGCTCCTTGTTATAAGGCCACATCTTCAAGTACTTCCGCATTAAAAAAAAAGTGAGCAAAGGATTTATTTGGCTAAAGTTTAAACTTCAATCATTATTTAGTCAGGGACAGAGCCAATTGTAGTGTTTAAATGGCATTATTATTTAGACAGGGACAGAGCCAAGTTTACAGAATTCTGGAAGGCAAGCTTAACCTCAGGGTACCTTAGCAGTGTTCTATGTGGCTGATCCTGAGGATTTAATTCAGAGCAAAATGGTCATCCATTTATAACAACCCAGGTTTTCTCTGTAAACTGGAAATATAAAGGTGGATAAGGCATAAGTCCTACTGTCTGTCATGAGGCTGAAAGTCGAATAGAGTAGAAATAATGTGAATAGGGTACAGTAAGTTTGAATCAGCACATGTTCAAAGTGCGTTGGGCTCAGGGTCAGGGGCAAGGTCGCAGAGATGAAATGGCATTTGAGTCACATCCTGAAGGAAGAATGGAGATTTCCTGGATGTCAAAACACAAAATGGACTTTATGTAGAAGGAACTGCATATGCAAAGCCTCAAAGCATGGCAGGATGGGACACGCAGAAAACCACGAGCAGCTGCGTGTGGGTGGAGCAAAGGCAAGTAGGAGAGTGGCAGACCCTGAAAGGTCTTAGAAAGAACTGAGATTTTGTCTCAGCTCAATGGGCAACTGCTGAAGGGTTTTAAGTGTGCAAGGGACCTGGAGGGGCATGATCAGGTTTCCATTTTGAGAAAGAAATTTAAAGTCTGGTGGATGGATTTGAAGCTTGGGACAAGGAGACCAGTTGGAAGATTGTCAGAGCAATCCAGGTGAGAGGTGAAGAAAGCCCAGATTCAAGATTCAAGAGCTATTTCAGAGGCAGCAGAGACAAGAATTCTAACTATTTTACTAGATTGAAGTTCAAAATGAGATCACTGTTCTTTCACCTTGGAATTATAGCAAGGTGAAGCTCAGAGAGCTGAAGGGCAGGTGGTTCCCCCTGTACCCACTTCTTGTGGCCAAGCCGCAGGAGCCTCAGCCTTGTCATACGAATGGGGCCTGTGGCTGCTTTCTCTCTCTCCTTCCTCTTCTCTAGGGCACCTTACTCAGCCTTCCTAAACCATTTGAAAACTTGGCCTTTTAATTTACTGCCATTTTATTTTTATTTTATTTTTTGTCTCAGTTTTATGAATACTTCAAAAACCAGGAAAGTATAAGATAGTAAAGAATGTTCCTCTCACCCACTCTGCACCCACCCATTTCCCACCCCAACCTGCAAAACGTAACCACTGGCTGGGCCTGGTGGCTCACACCTGTAATCCTAGCATCTTGAGAGGCAAGATGAGCAGATCACTTTAGCCCAGGAATTCAAGACCAGCCTGGGTAACATGTGGAAACTCCATCTCTACAAAAATACCCAAATTAGCTGGACATGGTGGTACATGCCTGTAGTCCCAGATACTTGGGAGACTGAGGTGGGCAGATCTGTTACTAGTTTCTTTGTTCTTTTTCTTTTTCTTTTCTTTTCTTCTTCTTTTTTTTTTTTTTTTGAGATGGAGTCTTGCTCTATCGCCCAGGCTGGAGTGCAGTGTGCCATCTTGGCTCACTGCAGCCTCCTCCTCTCGGGTTCAAGCAATTCTCTGCCTCAGTCTCCCGAGTAACTGGGATTACAGCTACCATGCCAGACTAATTTGTGTATTTTAAAAAGTAGAGACGAGGTTTCACCGTCTTGACCAGGCTGGTCTTGCACTCCTAACCCTGTGATCCACCTACCTCGGCCTCCCAAAGTGCTGGGATTATAGGTGTAAGCCACTGCACCCAACTGTTACTAGTTTCTTATGTATTCTTCCAGGGATTTGTGTAAGCCTATCGTCAAGCAAATGTGATTTTATGTTCTTCTTTTCCCCCTTTTATTTCTATTCCTTCTTGGGAGCATGGGTCCTGCTTAAGATAAGTTTAGGGAGCCCCAATGGAATTCTTTCAGACCTAAGGAGTCAGTCCTGGTTACTATTGTCCATTACTGAGCCCTTTTCCTCTGCAATACCTTGCAATATAAGGGCCCCAAACAAAAAGCCTTTCAGTGGGGCAAGGCCTGATTGCCTCAGGAGGCCCCACAATGCCAAGGCCCCCATCTACTCCTGGACCTACTGAAGTAACTGAGGCACCCATGCTGGCTTGCACCAGGCAGTGTGGGTGAGACCCCTGAACGCAGTGAAAATGCAGGCATCACTGAGGATAGAGTGCCTGTGCTGTGCTAGTATGGGACTCCACAGCCAAGAGGGCCTACATTCTCAGGGATGATTCTTCCATTACATTGAGCCACTTTCCTCAGGTGCAGCCATGGGGGAAGAGGGCTGGGCATAAGGGACCAGCTGCATGCTGCTCCTGGAGTTCGCTCTCCAGGACAGTCCTCAACCTTGGGCCTCTTCAGAAGCATTGCTCTTCTTTCTTGCCAGCCGGTCTCAGCCCAACCCACCCAAGTCTGCACCCTCTGAGTACAGCAGATATTACATTACTTTGAAATAAAAGGAGAGACTCTAGGTCTCACTGCTTCCTTCCAGAAGCTTCTTTTGTCTCTTGCAAACATAGGTGGCTTTGGGAGGAGTGGCAGCACACTTCATATACCAACAGCATCTTAGCCCAGAGGTCTTGGGGACACAGATAGGGTCTTCATCTCACATGATCGGGGCTGAGCTCTTTTTGGTGAGTAAAGTGGATTGAATAAAGGAGGAGGGCTGAAAGGAATTTGAGACTAGTCTGGGCAACAAAGCAAGACCCCATCTCTACAAAAAATATAATAAGGTTGGGTTTGACCAGGAATTTGAGACTTGCCCAGGCAACATGGCAAAACCCCATCTCTACAAAAATACAAAAATTAGCCAGGCCTGGTGGTGCATGCCTGTAGTCCCAGCTACTCAGGAGACTGAGGTGGGAGGATCACCTGTGCCTGGGAGGTCCAGGTTGCAGTGAGCTGTGATTGCACCACTGCATTCCAGCCTGGGTGACAGAGTGAGACCCTGTCTCAAAAAATTAAAATAAAATAAAATAATAAAAGAAAAAAAAACAGAGACCCATAGAGATCAAGTAACTTACTTTTAATCACTGTTACTTTTAAGGAAATCAATTTGACTACTAAGGCATAATGTCACAATGGCTTAGGCAAGATAGAAAGAGTTTGTCTCTCATGGTAGTCTCATCATGAGTAGTCCAGGGCTGATAAGACAGCTGAGTCTTGTTGGGGACCCAGGTTCCTTCTTTCTTGTTGCTCCAATACCCTAGTCCACCTTGTTAAAGGTGGAGCAATGCCACCTCTGCATTCCAGTGGGAGGAATGAGAGGAAGTAGAAGACACACCCTTCCCCTTTAAGGGCATAACCGTGAAGTTGGGCTCATATTTCACTGGCCAGAACATGGTCCCATGGCCATACCCAGTTGCAAAAGAATCTGGGAAATGTAGTCTGACCAGAAGGCCACTCATACAGCTAAACTTCAGGGAAGAGAGGGAGAATGGATACTGGAAAACAAATAGGAATCTCTGTCACAGTCAGAAGTAGAACTGGGATTCAAACCCAACACTTTGACTTCAAAGCCAGAACGCTCTTTTTTTTAGGGGCCTTTATCTCCCCAGAAGGCAGAACTCTTAACCATAATCTTCATTATGCTGTTTTCTAGAAGAATTAAATGAAGTCCACAGTTGGTAAGGTCTTTCTCTACAGTTTGATACTTCTTTTAATAATCTACTTTGAGCACATGAACACATGTATGCACATACATTTTTACTAAAGGGATAGATTGTAGCTGCCCTTGCCACAATATTACAACTCTTACTGTGAAAGTTGCTCGATATTGATGGGGAATCAAGTAATGTTTCCTTTTTTTTTTTTTTTTTTTTTTGCCTTATGACAGGGTTTTACTCTGTCACCTAGGCTGGAATGCACTGGTACAATCCTGGCTCATTGCAGTCTTGACCTGCTGGACTCAAGAGATGCTCCCACCCCACCCTTCTGAGTAGCTGGGACTACAGGTGTAGTCAAAAAATAGAAATCAATTTAAAAAAATTGATTTGTAGAGGTGGGGGTCTCTTACTATGTTACCCAGGCTGGTCTCAAACTCCTGGGCTCAAGTGATCCTCCTGCTTTCCTTCCCAAACTGCTAGGATTACAGACATAAGCCACTGCCTTTCATTCTCTCCTTCTAGACTTTCAATTTTTAGTATTTTTTTGTGTGTATGCCTTTCTTTTTCTTCTCTTTATTCTTCTCTCCTTCCTCCTCATGCCTCATGCTTTATGATGCTTGGTATATTATGCTATCATCAGTTTTATGATTTTTTTTCTGCATCAGATTATAGAGTTGGGCTTGGAAATAACTCCCCATCAATGAAACTTTCTCTTCTTTCATTAGCAAGTGGGGCAAACCAGGGTAACATTTTGTTCTTTTTCTTTCTTTCTTTTTTTTGTTTGAGACATAGTCTCTCCCTGTCACCCAGTCTGGAGTGCAGTGATGTGATCTCAGCTGGCTGCAACCTCTGCCTTCTGGGTTCAAGTGATTCTCCTGCCTCAGCTTCTCGAATAGCTGGGATTACAGGCATGCACCGCCATGCCCAGCTAATTTTTGTATCTTTAGTAAGACAGGGTTTCACCACGTTGGCCAAGCTGCTCTTGAACTCCTGACCTCATGAACCACCTGCCTCATCCCCTACAAAGTGCTGGGATTACAGGTGTGAGCCACCATGCCTGGCCAGGGTAACCTTTAAGAATACTTAGAAGCCCAGAAATAAACCCAAACATATGGTCAATTAATTTTTGACAAAGGCAACAAGAAGACACCTGGGAAAACAACAGTGTCTTTTAATAAATGGTATGAGAAAACTGGATTTCCACAGGTAAAAGAATACAATTATGGGCCAGTAATGGTGGTTCACACCTGTTATCCCAGCACTTTGGGAGGCCAAGGCAGGCAGATCATGAGGTCAGGAGTTAAAGAACAGCCTGACCAACATGGGGAAACCCTGTTTCTACTAAAAATACAAAAATTAGCCAGGTGTATGTCACTCACCTGTAGTCCCAGCTACTCAGTAGGCTGAGGCAGGAAAATCACTTGAACCTGGGAGGCGGAGGTTGTGGTGAGCCAAGATCATGCCACTGCACTCTAGGCTGGGCAACAAAGCTAGACTCTGTCAAAAAAAAAAAAAAAAAAAGAATAAAATTAGATCCTTATCTTATACCACATGCAAAAATCAACTCAAAATGCATAGAAGACCTAAGCATAAGACCAGAAACAATAAAAGTCCTAGAAAAAAACACAGGGGAAAAGCTCCTTGACATTGGCCTTGGCAATGATTTTTCTGGCATATCATACCAAAAGCTCAGGCTACAAAAGTAAAAATAAGTGGGACTACATCACACTAAAAAGCTTCTGCACAGCAAAGGAAACAATCCCCACAACGAAAAGGCAACCTACAGACTGGGAAATAAATATTTACAAACCATATATCTGTTAAGTGCTTGCTATACAAAACTTACAAAGAACTCATATAACTCAATAACAAGAAAACATATAACCCAATTTAAAAAATGGTCAAAGGACCTGAATAGATATTTCTTCAAAGAAGACATAAAAATGGCCAACAGGTATACAAAAAGATTCTTAACATCAAAACCCCTATCAAATGTCACCTCACACCCATGGATAGCTAAGGATATGTGTTGGCCAGGGTGTGGAGACAAGGGAACCTTATGATATTGGTGTGAATGTAGGTTGGTGTAGCCATTGTGGGAAACAATATGGAGGTTCCCAAGGAAATTAAGAATAGAACCACTGTAGGATCCAACAATCCCTGAGTTTATACCCAAAGGAAATGAAATCACCACCTTGTAAAGATATCTGCGCTCCTATGTTCTTTGTGATGTTATTCAAAATAGCCAAGATATGGAAGCTAACTAGGTGCCCACTAGTGGATGAATGGATTAACAAACTGTGGTGCATATATACAATGAAATGTGATTCAACCTCAGAAACGGAGGAGATTCTGCCACTTGCCACAACATGGATGAAACTAGAGGCCATTAAGCTAAGTGAAGTTAGTCAGACATATAAAGAAAAATATTATGAAGTCTCACTTATATGTGGACTTTAAAGAAAAAAGTCAAACTACAGTAAAAGAGAATAAAACAGTGGTTACCAGGGACAGGTAGAGGGGCAAAGAGGGGAGCTGCAGGTCAAAGAATACAAGCAGCAGACAAGTAGGATGAGTGAGTCTGGAGATCCGATGTGCAGCATGAGTTCACAATAGTGCATGGCATTTGGGATTTTTGCTAAATGGTTATATTATAGCTGCTCTTGCTACCAAAAGGGGGGTAACTGTGTGATGATGGATATGTTTATTTGCCTCACTATAGTTACCATTTTACTGCTTAGATGCATCTCATAACATCATGCTGTGTACCTTAAATATACAAAATAACATTTGTTTCTTTTATTTTTTTAAAAGAATACATAGAAAATAGGAGAACATTTAAAATTAGCATACATCAAACATCGTGATTTTGCCACAAATTGATTATTTTCATTAAAAGACAATTTAATGTCATTTGTTCCCACATGTTGTATTTTAGGGCTGACATAGTAGAATGCTATCAAAATTGGGAAGTTTCATGATTCATGCATGTACAACTGCACTCAGGTACCTCTCTCTTCTCTCACCTCTATAAGGGCAGTTTTGTTTGAACCTCTCAAGACTGCAGACATGTTCTACAAAAGCAGTTTGAAGTGAGTATTCATTCATTTGGGCTTTCCCGGTGTGGCCCTCTCAGCTGTGCAGAATGCCAGAGCAATGAGGAAACTGTTTGTTTCCAAGCAGGAGATGCCAATGTGATGACAGACTTTTTGAAGGCATATAGCTGGTGGCTGCTAAATCTGCATTTCCTGATTGGCAGATTTAACAGCCACCAGCATGCATAATGGTCCCTAAGCCGCTGGATGTGAGCAGAGTTGGTTAATAATCAAGCCTTCTTTTTCTTAGTGTTTAACAATGCAAAGTGCTTTTAAATAATTATTTAAATAATCTTAACAATAACCTTTTGAGATCAGTAGGGATATCCTGGCAACACAAGAAAATATTAAATGTCATTCTCATAAGACAAAGGTCTATTTTTCCCAGTGTAAAACCTAGGTACTCCCTAATAAGTAGAAGGCACACTTAAATTATGTTATTTTCTTTTTCTTTTTGAGACAGAGTTTCGCTCTTTTTGCCCAGATTGGAGTGCAATGGTTGATCTCGGCTCACTGCAACCTCCACCTCCCATGTTCAAGTGATTCTCCTGCCTCAGCCTCCCTAGTAAGTAAATGGGATTACAGGTGCCTATCACCATGCCTGGCTAATTTTTTGTATTTTTAGTAGAGACTGGGTTTCACTATGTTGGTCAGGCTGGTCTTGAACCCCTGACCTCAGGGAATCTGCTTGCCTCAGCCTCCCAAAATGCTGGGATTATAGGCTTGAGCCACCGTGCCCAGCTAAATTATATTATTTTCAACAAATGTCTATTGAGCCCTGCCTGTGGGCCAGTGGGCATTGCAAGACTTTAGAGAGCTACAGATGAACAAGACACAGTTGCTTCCCTCAACTCCATCTGTCAGCAGAGAGACATGAACACCACTGTTATCAGATGCTAAAAGTGCCATAATCAATGTCTTCTGGGAAAATGAGGGAGAGGAGAGAAGGTTTCAGAGAGCTTCAGAGGATGTGTGTGCAGACCCTTGCAGTATGAATAGGATTCTGCCTGGAGGGAAGTGAAGGGAGGACATTCCAGGGAATGGGTGCAGCATGTAAAGGGGAAAGAGGCTTGGACTAAATGATTTCTTCAGAGAATGAGAGGGAGAAGGAGATTTCATTAGCAGATGGTGGAAAGACTTGCTTGCTGTGCAGAAAAGCTTGAATTGGCCAGGTGCAGTGGCTCATGCCTGTAATCCCAGCACTTTGGGAGGCTGAGGTAGGCAGAAAATGAGATTAAGAGATTGAGACCATCCTGGCCAACGTGGTGAAACCCCATCTCTACTAAAAATACAAAAATTAGCTGGGCATGGTGGCGCGACCTGTAGTCCCAGCTATTTGGGAGATTGAGGCAGAAGAATCGCTTGAACCTGGGAGGTGGAAGTTGCAGTGAGCCAAGATCACACCACTGTATTCCAGTCTGGTGACAGAGCGAGACTCTGTCTCAAAAAAAAATTTAGAAAAAGACTTGAATTAGTTCTGCAAACCAGAGGCGTAGTAAAGAGCAGATCTAGTTAGGTGTGAATCCAAATTCCAAGAACTTGCTGACTTGGGTGAGTTACTTAATCATCATCTGTAAAATAGAAGTCATACTCATCCTTCTGGGTTAGTTTTGAATGTTAATAAGCTGGTGTATATAAAGTGCTTAGTACAGTGCCTAGCACATAGTAAGTGCTGACTATTAACTACCATCCAGTAATATTTCCTTATCTTTTTTGAATTAGATTCCTTTGAGAATGAATGAATCCTCTCCTCATACACACTATTTTGTATAGAATTTAAGGGATTCACATTATCGCCTGAAACTGGATTCCAAGGTAAGAGTCCTGCTGTAAGATATAAGGAATATTCTCAAAAATTTTTTAACTTAATTTTTTTTAGAGCAGATTTAGGTTCACAGCAAAATTAAGAAGATACAGAGATTTACCTTATACTCCCCACCCCTATGCATGTATAATTTCCCTGATGATATCAATGTCCCCTACCAGAATGGTACATTTGTTACAACTGGTGAGCCCACACTGAGGAATCATAATCACCCAAGTCCATGGTTTACCTTAGGGTTTGTCCTTAGTATTGTACATTCTATGGGTTTGGACACATCAATAATGACGCATACCCGTCATTATAGTATCATACAGAGTAGTTTCACTGTCCTAAAACTGCTCTGTGCTCTCATCTGAAGTTTGCTTTCTTTTTTTTTTTTTGAGAGTGTCTCACTCTTGCCCAGGCTGGAGTGCAGTGGCACAATCTTGGCTCACTGCAATCTCTGCCTTCCAGTTTCAAGCGATTCTCCTGCCTTAGCCTCCGGAGCAGCTGGGATTATAGGCATCCACCACCATGGCCAGGTAATTTTTGTATTTTTAGTAGAGACGGGATTTTGCCACATTGCCCAGGCTGGTCTTGATCTTCTGACCTCAGGTGACTCTCCCACCTTGGTCTCCCAAAGTGCTGGGATTACAGGCATGAGCTGCTGCACCCAGCTGGTTCTCAAATCTGACTGTATATTATAATTACCTGTAGAGATTCTTAGAAACCCTGCTGACCCCAGCTTTACCCTCACATATTCTGATTCCGTTGGTCAGGGTCAGGTAGAGCATCAGGCTTTTTACATATTCTGGGGATTCTAATGTATAGCCAGTGCTGAGAACCATTTGGCTGCCACCAATGTTAGCCACCTGGAGAGAGGAGACGAGCAGAAGACGCATAGAAAGAAGAAAAGAGGCCCTCCCCATTTCCCCCCAGTAGACCCCAGTGTTTAGTACTCTTCTCTCTGTGGAGGGCCAGTGGGAGGGGGAGGTGGGGAGGGATAGCCTGGGGAGAAATGCCAAATGTGGGTGAAGGGGAGAAAGAAAGCAAAACACACTGCCATGTGTGTACCTATGCAACTGTCTTGCATGTTCTGCACATGTACCCCCAAACCTATAATGCAATAAAAAATTTAAAAAAATAAAAAAAAAAAAAAAAGAAAGAAGAAAAGAGGAAAGGAAAGATTCAGAACACTCTGGTGATGGAATCAGTCATACCAAGCAACCAATTACATGTAGTGAGGGAAAACAGTGTGAGCTGGTCCCAAAGAGGAGGGGGCATTTGTGTTTTGTTTATTGCTTGCTACTTTTTCTTCACTATGTAAAAGGCAGGAGTGGGCAAGGAGAAAATAATACATTCAACAAACATATACAGTTGCTTCCCTCAACTTAAAGTACATGTATTGGCCAGGCGAGATGGCTCATGCCTATAATCCTAGCACTTCAGGAGTCCAAGGTAGGTGGATCACCTGAAGTCAGGAGTTTGGGACCAGCCTGACCAACATGGTGAAACCCCGTCTCTACTAAAAATACAAAAATTAGCCTTGTGTGGTGGTGTGTGCCTATAATCCCAGCTACCAGGGAGGCTGAAGCAGGAGAATCACCAGAACCTGGGAGGGAGGTGGAGTCTTGAGTGAGCTGAGATCATGCCACTGCACTCCAACCTGGGCAACAGAGTGAGACTCCATCTTAATACATGCATACTTTCATGCATACACACACATATTAAGTGCAAACTGTGGGTTGAGATTTTGTTTTGGACATTTTTAATATGCTTGTGAGACATGGAAATGTCATGTAGGCACCTGAAAATACCAGAGCAATTGGAACTCACCAATTCATAAGCAGCTGACCGTGAAAGAGGGTGGATGAGATCACCAGGAGAGGGTAGAGAGGAGCTGAGAGGGTGATGAACATGGGGAATCATGGACCCAGGACCCTGGGGGCACTGGGGAGGAAAGTCTTTGTGTGGGATGGTGAGGGCATGAAAGAAGGAGGCAAGAGTTTCCAGAAGGAGTGGGTGGCCACTGTGTGAAGAGCAGCAGAGAGATGGCTGGAGATGAAGACTAACAGGAGCAGGGCCCTCACTTGATGATTAGGAGAGGTCTGTGGCTTTTCAGACAGTGGCATGGGTGGAAGCCCAATTCCAGTGGGTGCAGATGAAAAAGAAAGTGAGGAAGCACAAGCATTGACATAGGAAGTTTGGGGAAAAAGCAATGAAAGCAGTAGCACAGAAAAGGAAGGGTGGAGGGCAGAGCTTTATTTTAGGCTGGAGTGGCATTATTGTAGTCTGAGGGGAAGGAGCCAGGCTAGAGGAAGCCATCAAAAACACAGAAGAGGGAGGAGACAGGCAGTGGAGCCAGAACTCTGCTCCAGCAGGCGGCCCAGGGCTCACAAACACTGGGTGAGGAACTGCTCTTAGATGGGATGAGGGATGCTTGTTTCTTTGAGGCCAAAGTGAAGAAGTTTCCAGAATGATGCAGGCCTGTCTGAGAAGCCACCGAGGGTCATTTCTGATTCCCATGACAGCCTCCTGCCTACATCCCACTTCCCAGGACTCAATCTGTTTTGTTCCCCTCTTGAATGCTGCCTCCGCCCCAAGACTTGAGGCTAGCTGGAGAATGAGATGGGACAGCTGAGGTTTCCACCTCGTTCACTGTCCCAGAGGAAAAGCATAGGGCCTCTTTCTGTTTCTAGCAAATGGCTAATCACAATGCATGAAGAATTCAGCTGCAGCTACAAAGATCTGTGGATTCTCACAAGGTCTTCAGTCATTCTTGTTCATTCTTTCTTCCCCTTCTCAGAGGGTTCTCTCCTTTGTTCCCTGGCTCTCTCATATTGACCTTGCTTCCAGTTATTCCACATTGCTGGACGTCCCTCTTCCTGACAGTCTTTCTCCTCTGAGCATTATGACATTCTTCTCCAGGTTTCCTCCTGTCCACTGTGTCCCCTCCTGTGCCTGCTCTCCAGAGGTTGGATACCAGGACTCTTCCCCACGCGCCTTCCCTTCCCCAGGTACATGCTCTCAGAAGACCACGGTGTCTAGTCTATCACTTTAAATTTCATCTCTACAGTGAGATGTCTTGACCTCCTGCTCCAACACCAGCACTCCCCACTGCGTGACTGACATTTCCATTTGGATGTCTCACAGGGTATCTCAGACTTCACATGCCCAAAACAGAACTCTTGATTTTTTTTCCCTCCTCAATCTGCACCTCCTTCTGCTTTTCCACTCTCAGATATACTGGCATTCCCTCAGTTGCTGGATCGAAAACTCAAGGTCAGCCTTGATTCTTCTCTCCTGCAAATGCAATCTATCAGTAAATTCTACTGAGTCTGCCTATAAAATGCTTTGCAGTCAGTCCACTTCTTGCATCTCCAGTCCGCTGCAATGTTATTCAAGGTTGGATTTGCAGACCAGCCACATCAGCATCACCAGGAACTTGATAGCAATGCAAAATTTTGAGGTCCTTTCCATCCAGAATTAGAAACTGATTCTGGGGATGGCACCCCTCAGAGAATTCTGATGCCCGCTCAGGTTTGAGAAGCACTACTCTGATTCATGCCTTCATAATCTCCAGTCCACACCACTGCAATAGCCTGCTACTGCTCTCCTTACTTATTCACTTACTTATTCACTTAGAATCTGTTCTCCCCCTACAGCCAGAGTGATTGTTTTTTAAAAAAATATCAGATTATATCACATGTATACCCTCTGTTGTTCAGTTTAAGATCTCCCATGGCTTCCCTTGGACATAACACAATCCAAGTTCTCCTTCCTAACCCACAGAGTCCCGAGGTGAGATCTGACCACACCTACCACTCGAGCCTCTGCCAAAACCTCCCTTTCCCCTTCCTCTGCGCCGTAGCTCGGCAGGCTTTCTCCCACGGTGCATCAGCTTGTTCCTGACTTGGGACTTTTGCACTGGCAGTGCCCTCTGCCTGAAATGCTCTTCCCTTGAACTTCAGTCGCTGTTTCCTCATGCCATTTTCTTCTCAGTGTAACTGGCATCCCCTTTAGAGAGGCCTTATGTCAATGAACAAATCCGAAGAAGCTCCTTTTTACAAAATATGCATAGCACTTACTACTATCAATTTTTACAAATTTTCTTCTTTAATGTCTGATGTAATATTTTTGGTCTTTGGTTTTATTTTTTATTTTTCTGTTTTTGAGACAGTGTCTCACTCTGTTGCTCAGGCTCAAGTGCAGTGTGTGATCATGGCTTATTGCAGCCTCGGCTTCTCTGGGCTCAGGTGATCCTCCCACCTCAGCCTCCTGAGCCACCATGTCTGGCCATTAATGTAACTTGTATGAGACCTAGTTTGTCTTGTTCATTGCTGTGTCCAAATGCTTGAACAGCTCCCTAAATATTTGTTGAATGAATGAATGAACTTCTTCCTTAATTGTAGGCTTGAAGTTGCTATTAAGAAATAATAATTCAGGCTGGGTGCAGTGGTTCACGCCTGTAATCCTAGCACTTTGAGAGGCTGAGGTGGGTGGACTGCCTGAGTTCAGGAATTTGAGACCAGCCTGGGCAACATGGCTAAACACATCTCTACTAATAATACAAAAAAATTAGTTGGGTGTGGTGGCACGAACCTGTAGTCCCAGCTACTCAGGAGGCTGAGGCAGGAGAATCACTTGAACCTGGGAGGCAGAGATTGCAGTGAGCCGAGACTGTGCCACTGCACCCCAGCCTGGGTGACAGAGCGAGAGAAAGAAAGAGAGAAAGAGAGGAAAGAGATGAAAGAGAGAAAAGAAAGAAAGAAAGAGAGAGAGAAAGAAAGAGAGAAAAGCAATGGGGAAAGGATTCCCTGTTTAATAAATGGTGTTGGGAAAGCTGGCTAGCTATGTGCAGAAAGCAGAAACTGGACCCCTTCCTGACACCTTACACTAAAATTAACTCCAGGTGGATTAAAGACTTATGGTGTTAGGTCTTATGTTTATAAGACCTGGCACCATAAAAACCCTAGAAGAAAATCTAGGCAAAACCATCCAGGACATAGGA